CCATCTTTGGAGCGCCGTCATGAGGACACATTTCGACCGTGCGTGGTATGTCAAAAGGAGGCATGTTTTGGACAGTTTCAAGTTGTGGAACTCTCGCGGGGCAGAGGTAAATAAGTGTGTACAGGGGACGGGAAATTGTAAACAACAGCATTGTATAATTAACCCGGAAAATGTAGTGGTGTCAAAGAAATTGGAGGAGTTCTTGGGTAGAGGTCCGAAGTACTGTGTAAACGTTAAGCCGTCTAGACTCGACGTGTTTTCTGACATACAGTCAATCGCCAGGGTTGTGGATAGTGAGGAGAAGTTTGCGTTTGTCGAAGATGCTGTAGGGCGCATGGAAAAATTAATGGGAAACGCGTATCCCATCGATAGGAGGAATTTCAAGGATGTGAGAGCGGTGAAACAAGAGTTAGAAAGGAGTTCGTTAAAACTGTTGCAGACGGATAAAACAGGAAGGTTTGCAATTTTGCCTGTACAGGCCTTTCAGAAGAAGTCGGAGGAAGCGTTGGGATCATTGTTTAATGAATGGAAGGGCAATATCGGGAAGCTGAGGAAAAGCATTTGCAAGGTTTTTCAGGAGGAAAGCATGGAAGAGGTAGCGAAAAGCGTTTTGAAACCGTTGCGTTCAACGCTCACCCTTAAGTTCTTTTTGAAGGATCACAAGATTGAAATGCCCCTTCGTACCGTTGTTAACGAAAATGGGACGTGGCAGAAGGTGGTCTCATGCTTCTTACAGCGGGGTTTGAAGTTAGCTAATTTGGAGAAGTCAATTGCCTTAAAGAACTCTAGTGAGTTGATTGAAGTAATGGAAAAGTTTCACGGAAGGAAGTGCGCGGTATTCTCCATGGACATCAAGGACCTATATTACTCTTTAGAGAAAAGCAGACTAATGAATAGAGTGAGGATCGCCTTGGAAGGGAACCTTATTAAGTTTCAATCAGGAACAGGAATAGCGGTGGATAGTTTTCTTTCGGTGCTAGACCTTTATTTACAGTCGACGGTATTGGAATACGAAGGTCGCAATTTTGTGCAAAAAGAGGGAGTTTGTATAGGTTCGTCTGTAGCGCCTTTGTTAGCGGAAATTTACTTAAACACGGTGGACCAGCAAGTGTATGACAAGGTAGAGGAGTTGTCTCCAAAGTGTTTTGTGAAAAGATTTGTGGATGATATCTTAGTTTGCTCTGTTCAGGAAGGATTGGACCAAGTTTTAGAACAAGTAGTAAGGTCAGCGGCGCCAGAGTTGAGATTCACGGTAGAGAGGCCAAGGGGCGAGGTCCTGCAATTTCTCGACCTGCGTTTGCATTTGGAACGAGGTCTTTGTTGGGAGTATGGGAAGGAAAACCCAAAACCGGTTTTGTCAAAGAATAGCTGTCACTCGAAAAATGTAAAAGCCGGGGTAGTCAGATCTTTGATTAGTAATGCTTTGGTGAGATCATGCATGCATTTCGGACCGGAGGCACTAAAAAATCAGTGGGAAAGACTGGTAATGGCAGGATATGGGGAAGAGTACATCAAAAGGCAGATTGCCCTACAGTGCAGGGAGAAAAAGGGGAAGACGCAAGAAATCAGGAATAGGTACGCTGTGGTTCCGTATTTTCACGAGGTGTCCCACAATCTTAGAGCATGTGCAAAAAAATATGGCGTGGATGTCGTATTCAGCACGGATTTTAGGTTAGATAGATTGACACCTTTTGAAACGGCTCAGAGGGGCTGTCAGAAGGCGCATAGGGAAAAGTCGGTGCCGTGTAGCGTAGGCGTGGTGTATGAGGTTCCTTTGGCGTGTGGTTTTAAGTATGTAGGCCAAACCTCTCGGTGTTTAAACGATCGTTTAACAGAACACAAAAGGAATGTTAAAAATAATGCAGCAAATTCGGAGTTGGCTAAGCATCTGGAGGAGTGTAGAAACTGCACAACGGATTGGTCTGGAACGGATGTAGTTGTTAAGGAAAGGAACGATGTTAAAAGGGTGGTAAGAGAAACAATTAGGATTAGATCGTTGGGAAATTGCATTAGTCAACCTTCCATGCAAATAGGGAACCGCTGCAAGCAATTTTTACAATTTTAAGTGCTTTTTTTTCTTCTCTTTTTTTTTTTTTTTTTTTAGTTAGTTAGTTATTCTGAAAGGCTTCGTTGGTGTGTATTGTCTGTGGTGTGTACCGGTGTGTATTGTCTGTTTTCTACAATTTTGGAGGTGACCAGTTTTGAGTGGGATGTTGTTGTTGGCTGTTGTCCTGTTTATTGTGAGGACACAAAAGAGTTGCTTGGGGCTTTGTGAGGCATATCTTCTGCTAGAACCTTTTCACTTGGAAACGTTGGGAGTGTCCGCTTCTTTTGTGATATAGTGGAACCTGTAAAGTCACGGTGCAAAGGACAAGTCGTATGTGATTGGTTGTTGACGACGAAAACGAACTATATAAGAGGAAGTTTTTGAAATAAACGTGTAGCTGAGTTTGAGACCTGTCTGTTTTTTCTGTTTCTTCTGCTCTTCAAAAAAAACCCCAGTCTCAGGGTAAACGACGAAATGGTTGACTTCCACCAGCTAGCCTGTACTTTGACTCTTTTCTCGTTAAACAACGGAAGTTTAATCAACAGTTTTGCCGAGAGACTCGGCTTCGTCAGGATATGACAAGTGAGGATATCGCTGCGGCAAAAAAGTTGAAAACCAGAAAAAAAAAAAAAGAAAAAAAGAAAAAAAAAAGAACGTAACAAGACAAATGAAAAAAAAAAAAAAAAAAACTTTATATTTGGGTGCAGTGCAATCGCTTGAAGATAAATACTAGCAAAACTAAAACGTTACCTTTTCGGCCGGGGGAAAAAAAAAGTGGTTTTGATCAAAAGCATTGTATTAAATTCATGCCCACTAGAAATAATCAGTTCTTTTAAGACTCTATAGGCGTAATTTTTGTAGGAATTCATGTTGGGGATGACTATATGCATCATGTTAGCTCTAACTTATCGCGCGTTATAAGGTTAACATATCGTCATCAGTCCGCGCTCCCAACCGCTGTCAAAATATTAATTTAGAACTCGTTGTTTTCTTATCTCTTAAACTACTGCCACCTGGTTTAGTGCGCTACCAACTTTACAAACTTAGAAAAGCCATATATATTTCAGGAAAAATCTTGAGAATAATTTCGCGTGTTTCATATTATTCTCATACAACAGCTATTTGAACGTCTTCATGTGTTGGATATTAAAAAGAAAAAAAAATATATGTATATACAGGGTGTTTTTTTTTAAGCTTTACATATATGTTTCAAAAATCCGTGAAAGTTACACTTATGCGGTTTGTGCAGGTGAGTTATACGGCCAGAAAGACGTTATGTGGATGGATAATGTTTGCGATAAGTCGGCTAATTAATTAAACTTCATTAATTAACTTTTTAATGAGTAAAACTAGACTTAATGTTCCAATTAGAAGCTTAGAGAGCGTCATAGAAAAGCACTATGCTCCATCTCATGAGTTGTGTGCAGCAGAGGCAAAATCCCAGGCGCGAGTGCGTGGCTTTCAGATATGCTTTCCTTTCACGAGCACCCGCGAAAGGAAAGCGAATCTGAAAGCCATCTGCCCGTGCCTATGCCTCTTCCTTTGCTGCACACAACTCTTGAGGTAGAGTATAAATGAACTCTTTTTGAACAACTTGAAGCTCGTAGGAAACTCGGCGGGCGCACCAAAGTTACCACTCGTGAAGCAGGCGCAAAGCTAGCAGTGGCCGAACGCGATGATAATCTAATCATCCGCGTTTTGCCCCTGCCAACTTTGAGCGGTGTTTCCTGCGATGAAATTCTTTCTTTTCAAGTAGGGCTAATCCAGTTGACCTTTTTTTTTTTTACGGTGTTTATCGGAAAAAAAAAAAACTTACTAGGCTAAATTACAATAATTTTTGGATGCATATGAAAAAAAGAAATCATAAGATTGAAATTGGTCTATAGTTGCTCATCTCGTTCTTTTATCTCCTTTTTTAAAACGCACAAATACCTAATCTATCTGCATTTTCTTTGGGAATATCCCGGAAGTTATACTAAGGTTAAACGTGTAAGTTAAACAAGGGCCTATAATATCTGAAACTATTTTAACTGGTTTAATTTGAATAGCGTCTGAGTCACAACTAGCGCTATTTTTCAACTAAGAAATATTAGAAACTATCTGAGCGTCATCAACGGGATGAAAGAAGATAGAACTTCCATTTCGATCTTGGAGATGGATATTGGCATTTTGTCTCGAATTGCTTTTTACCGGGTTCACAAAATGGTCCTTCCGTAGCTAAGGAACACTCGGCTAACCGCGTACCCTTGTGAAAAATATGACCGCTTTGACAATGCAACCCTGAGCGGGGAGTTAGAATTTAATAATCTCCCTAAACAACCGGTGCGGTTGTTTATGGATAATAGAGAAAGAATCGGAGTAGTATCGCGATCTTGCATTTCGTATTCACTTTTTCAGTTGGTTACGATATGATTTGAACATTTTAAGGTTACCTGGGTCTCTTGTTTTAATAAATTTGTCGTACAGAAAATTTTAATATTAATCTTACCTAAAAGCTCTGGTGTGGTCCGTGGCTTGCGAATGTTCCGCGATAATTCAAAGTTACGCGAAAGTTACGGAAACATTTACATGCATAAACTACTTCGTAAACATAAAGCGTAATTCTAATTCTCTAAATTTGCGCACTTCTGTATTGATCAATAAAATTAACAATTTTTGGAGCAAAATACTTGTAATTTTAGTCAATTACAGGTCCAAAGTAATTCTCCTCAGTATGGCTCGGAGTAACTTTGAAACGTGATTCATATCTGACCGTCGCCTGCCCACGCGCGCGTGCCAACACTGCCGAGCCTGCCGAACAGCCGTACGGCAGTACTTCGGGGGCTCTTCGGGCGAGCCGCCAACCAGTCGTACGGCCGAACAAGCAACGCGCGCTTGTAGCTCGTGACGTCACTCGGCGGAGCGCGAGGAAGCGGGGGAGGAGGCGCGCGTAGCGTAACGCCGCCGGCCCAGCGTCGCCAGCGTCGCGAGTGTGGAGGCTGTCTCATTCCGCCGCGGGCCCTCGTGGAGCCCAACGGTGCATCGTGCGCGCAGCCTGCTCCAGCCGACGGCCGCGTGGTCGCTCCCGCGACACTGGGCGTACGTACGCTCGCCCCCTCTCTGCGTGGTTCCCCCGCCGGATCTCGCGTTGCCGACGCCGTTGTCGGGGCGCACCGACCGAATTGTCCCATCTTGAGAGCAGCGCGGCGATCCTCCGGGCTCGCTCACGCCGACAGCATCAACGCCGATCTCCACCCGACGGTGTCCCGCGACCAGGTGTCGGTCGCCGGCTCTTCCTCGAGAGGGATTACCCACTGTCTGCCGACGGGAGAGGCGTCGCAACGTCGCTTTCCAAGCTGCGTCGACGGAAGGAAGCAAGCAGCCTGAAGGAACCGTGAGTCCCACACTTTTCGGTCTTCGCGGCGGCCCGGTCCGATGTACGGGCGACCGTGCACAGCTGCCGTTGCGCAAACCTCTTAATGCGTGACGGGCTGATGCGTCCCTCCATTGGACCGACCGTTGACCTCCTTCTGAGCCACCAACGTTTCTGCGCCTCCTGGGCTCGGTGCCTGTGCCACTTGCACTCCTATTGTGCGTGTTCGCCTAATGATCGAACCCGCCGAGCGATGGTTAGCTGCCTATCATCGGTCGTACAAAACTGCAAAAAAAAAAAAAAAAATAAAAAAAAAAAAAAACTTGGCGCCAGCGGATTTTGTCGACCGCGTTTCCGCACTGTCAGATCACCCATGAAGCGTTCGAGTCGATCTACGAACGCTCGTGCAACATGTGCCGCGAAAACTAGTAATTTAATTTTGAGCGCTTTGCCAGGTGTAATCTGGCCAATGTAAGTGTACGGCGGAAAGAGCGGTGTCGTTGACAAGTCGCGAGTTTAATGTCTGTGCGATGTTCAATACGTGTAGCAGGGATAGAGTGGGAGTTTAAAATTCACTCTCACATACACAGACACCCACTCGATTACGTTTTTTTCATACCGCATGTGCATGTATTCCAAGTTCCCGTTTTTCAGTCAATTGCTTGAGCGTGCGTCCCTCCCCCCTCCTCGCCTCGCCGTTGTGTCCCTTGCGTAACGTTTTGAACAAACAGGTAAAGCCTTTCCTATCTTAGAAGAACGTACCCGCGGAAGACCCGAAGAGGAGCTGCATTAGTATTCACCACACCCGGCTTCGAGGGACGCTTGTGTAGATATGGAAAAGAACGAAAGGTTGTCTCTACTTCTAATCTTCGATCGCACACGCCGCGAGAACACTTGAATCTTGGCACCGCGCTCGTGTCGACATGTAAGTGTGCACTCCCGTAATGGGTTGATAACGGTCCACGTTTTGATCCGAAACTCCGTGGATACGAATGGAAAACACTTCTGCCCATCGAGCGCTCACATTGTGATCAACGAAATGGTTTCATTGTCGACACGTAAAGCGACTGTCCTGACGAGTGGGCTGCTGGCAGCTCCCCAATTTCGCCGGTTCCGAAACTCTACACTCGCGCCAGAGACAGTGGAGAATACTTTCAACTTGCTGGGACGTAAAGGGAGTATAGTTTATTCATTCGTGCATGTATTGCGGTGCAAAGTCGAAAACTCTAATCGTCTGTCGTTATTAAGCTAACAAAAGCAAGATGAGTATGCTTACTTGGGGAATTTACAGGTCGGCAGTCGATGTATCTAGCACACCGGGTTGCTCACTGATTTTCTTTTTTCGTCTGTTGAATTGGTGTGGTAAATTTTTGTATGTGTTGATATTCAGTGTCGAGTGTTTTGTAATTGTCAAAGAAACACAGCTGTAAACGATAAAAACGAAACATGCCTTTTTTTACAGCTCAGAATTGTAGATTGAATGGAGATGGCACGGTCGGATTACTTCCTGAAACAAGACCAAGTGCCTACATCTACTTCACGAACGCCTTGTAATGGTCTTCTTGTATACTTCTTGGCGGACATTCAATGAACATTGCTATCAGATATGGATGGATTGATGGTATTGGTAGCTTGGGCCACCTAGCATTTTTCGCTTGCCAAGTAGTAGAGTGTTAGCAGCCTTTCTTTCGCTTCATTACATACTTGGGTAGTAATTCATTTACAGTAATTGAATTACTCTAATTTAATAACTTTTCTTTGTAATTTGTAATTGTAATTAATTTCGGCCAAAAGGAATTGTAATTGTAATTTAATTACTTTCTAGCGTCAGGAATTGCAAAATTTCAGGCACAATTACAATTACTTTTCCAAAACTTTGCGGCGGCGACGGTACGCTTTTGAAAGCCTCAGCGCTCACACAAGTGGCCTAGCTGTCGGTGAAACACTCGCACAGAGACACGCACTCACACACACGCACAACATAAATAGCGTCGCATTGTTTGTTGTTTCGTTGCGTACACTGCGGGCTGAGAGACTCCTCTTTGGAGCCTACCTCAACGTGGCCGTGTTGCGCCGTCTGCTGTGCGAGCAGAAAACAAGAGCGTAAACATGCCAAAATATTGAGAGAAAGAAAAACAAAAAATAGAGCTTCAGCTTTCAGTTAAGCTAGGGAATTTAAAATGTCTATGCATTTTTTACAGTTTTTTTGCGTCTTTCTACCAGTACTAACGCATATTTGCATCTTTGTATTAATTTCAAGGTTATTTCCTGTTGGTTTTACTTCGTGTATTTTTTGCGTAAGCATTTTTGGAGACTGACCTCCCACCTGTGAATATTGTTACCAATGATTCGGGAGCCCCGATTTGGTTCTAATATATTTCTGAGCCATTATAATCTCAACTCAATGTATATCATTTATAATACCATGATGTTTCTATGTGAATGCGGTCGTATTAACGCGTGTGGATTTTAGTTGTATATTATCACTTGTAAAATATTCATATATGACTAATTGTCGCTTTTTGTTTTGTCGGGCTAAAAAAACTTTCAACCCAGTTTTTTCTTTGGCGATCTGGCGTTTTGCAGCATATGAAGTAATTTATTATTATTCATAGAAAAAATATAAGACCTAGTACTTCATTGCCTCAAACTGCCAAGTTCCATCATGAATTTAACAAAATTTATAAAAGGAAAGTACAATACGTGGCATTTATGCAGCGATGCTTAAGCCTCATCTAACATTGGGAAAAGGAATGAACAAATACGTTGCATTCTATACAACTCGTTTAAAGTTATATGGCCCAAGTCGGGGGTCACTCTCAAAAATAAGTAATTGCATTACTTTTTAAAAGTAATTTGTAATTGTAATTAATTACTTTTCACGTAGTAATTGTAATTGTAGTTAAACTACTTTTGAAGCAAAGTAATTGTAATTGTAATTAAATTACATTTTGAAAGTAATTTCCCCATGTTCATTATCATCAACCGGCAACACATGAATGGGAAGGTGCACGCAGTACTATCGACAGTTGCTCTGATCGTCAAAATGGCTCTGACGGCATATTAAAAAACCGCGTCGTTTTGTTTTGCCATTTATTTTACAAGTAGGCTGCTATGAGGTTGAACAACAAACTCGTCAGGCGTAGGTTAACACAATGACGGGGGCTTTACTGCATGAACCAGGAGAATATGGTTTGAGATACTGCACTCTAAAAGAAGCTCGTGCATCTACTTTCCCGCACAACACTCGGAGAGTCAATCAACTTACAGAGGCAGCTCAGCGGATGACGATGCCGAAACATATATTTAAAAAAACAAAAACAAAAAAAAAACGCAGTCTGAGTTGTGACATTAAGCAATGCAAAAACGTCACGCTTTCATTGCTTAATGTCCCAACTCAGACCGCATTTTTGGTCTAAACATATGTTTCGGCATCGTCATTCGCTGGGCTGCCTCCGTAAGTTGCGCTGATTTGCTCTCCGAGTGTTGTGCGTGAAAGTAGACGCACTGACTTTTTTTGGAGTGAATATTGGATTAGAATCACCTGATTACAAACTAGTCATCTTCGAAATCCACCACTTTTGGTAGACCGTTCCCCTGTCGGACACTTCCTAAAAAGGAAGGTTGTGAAAACAAAGGGCGGCATTAGGAAAGGGAGAGGAAATAGTAACAGTTACAAGTATTTCTTATTACTTTCAAAAGCAACGAGAATACTCGTGATTACTACTTAATAAAATTAATTAAATCATTACAAAATTTAAACAAAGTAACGAGATTACTCCTGTGATTAGTACTTAATAAAATTAATCAAATCATTACAAAATTAAAAAAGTAATCGTTTACAAGTAATTTGATTACTTGTATTAAGTACGGGACAACTCTGGCTCGCACGGACCTCTTCCGATCTCACGCTGAAACGGGTATCAAGTAATGCGAACACATCACCTTAATATCCATAGTGTCGACCCATTTAATCAGGTTCAATTACCCTTCATGAGAGAACGAGTAGGAACGATGTGTATAACTGTATATATGTATATATACACTACGGAGGAAATTATGAGTTGACTTTACGCCTGTCATATGCCTATAGAATTCGAATCTGTCCTCACATTAAATACACTGCAGGTCTTCATTGGGCTCCAACATGTCCTGCATCAAAGCCGTCCTTTGATCGCCTATTGGATGTCTTTTTTCTTTTAGGTCATGTTAAATGGTTGTTGGGATGATGTCCAGACGACTGCCATATCTACAAATTCCCTCGACATTCGGGTGGTGATTGGGTCTGGATTTACTTTGGGAAGGAGGGAGGATTCAGTCAAGAGTCCCCGTAACCTACCAGTAAGGTGCACTCAGTCCGACTCGGACACAGAGGCCTGGGCGTGCTTGAGCTCGCACCAGGGTATAGAAATGGGTCGCGATGTAAACGCAAACACGTGCTAAGCAGGTTGCCACGTAGTCTATATCTTTTTTTGGTTAGCTGTCCCAGCACACTGTTGATTTCAGGTTGACATAATGTCAAGATGCACCGGACTTATTTGCCGAAATTGCACTCTATTCCTCCTGTCTGCACGCCTTAAGAGGCGCTGCTAGAATAACTAACAGCTTCGTATTCCGCTTTGCGCGGTAAATATAAACGTACAATTCTTGCATGGATTAAGACCGCGGGAATGAAAGATATTTTTATAAATAGAAAGCACAGCTCGCCTTTTCTAGTTGGTCAGCTATAGATTGTCCGTTTCCCTAATAAATTTGAGTTAGCGACAGGGCAGAGAAAAGGACGGAGGAATCTATTTTGGCTGGCAACGACTGCGCACGAAAACTTCAAAAATTCGGCAAGGAGTTTCGTCTATGTTCGCTATTGCTTTTCACTTTTTTTTCAGGTGTAGCGTTTCTCTTTGTGCACCCGAAAATGTTTGTAGCATTTGAGGCTTACTACTACATGGAATAAAAGGCGTCGACCGGAACGCTAACGGAGCAGAGTGGAAGCATCTGTTTAGGGTCCTAGGCATACAGTAGTT